AAAAAAAAAAAAAAATCTACATAAACGTAATTAATTTAATAGCTGGCTCATATTTTTATACAATTATTTAATGATATGTATTAGGTGGTGCACAAAAACTGTTTCTCGTAGTAAAGAAATCCAAGATGAGATATTGCTTTGCCCATAAGGGAACAAAAAATATCACTTTGCCTGCAAACCATAATAAAAGAGTGTATATAAAAAATGGAAAACTAATCGGAGAAGCAATGCTTTGCATAGTCGAGGAGCATCTGAGTTAATGGTATAAAACCAAAAACAGGTTGGATAAGGATTGGACCAACTTTGTCTATAAAATCAATTTGATCTCAATACTCAAATCCTTTACAAATTTCCATGGTTCAAGCCCCCATGTCTCTCTATCAAACAAACAAACAATAAAACCAAAACAAAAAACAAAAAAACAAAAAAAAAAGGGGCATTGTCATCCCCAAGGAAAAAGATACAAGGCATTCCTTTTATAGTGTGTGTTTGCAAATTTAATGTTGTACGAAATTGATTATGCAAACTTAATTAGTTTTATTTTAAATGTGTGTTTATACCGAAATGATTTATGATATTTAAATTGTAGTACTAACATTACTTTTTGAATATGTAATTATAAATAAAGAAAAAATATTTGTCATTTTAAGGAACAGTTATTTTAATTAAAATTATTATTTTTATTCAATATTTAAATTTAAAAAAAATTATGACTTTCTCCCACCATGATTTATATTTCTCTCATTATAAATAGACTAACTTTGACTAAAATAACACAACACAATTTTATGTGGAGAAACACTAACCCCATAAATAAAATGTTAGTATGTTTGGTTCAAATTATAAAAAGATAAGAAAAGGCTTTTCATAAAATATACATTCAAACTTAATTTGATTTTCTGTATGCCCTATCAAAACTATCAAAATTCAAGGGTCAAATTAGAGATTGTCGTAATAAGACAACCAAACATGAATAATGTAAAAGAAAAGGATCTGATCCTCTCATGTGAAAATTCACATGATCATGTCATGTGAGAAATCATAACCATACAAATGTGGATCAATGGTAAAAAAAGAAGAGAGAGAAAAAATGATAAAATAGATAGTTACGAAATCATAACCGTTGATTTATCTTTGTATGGTTGTGATCTTCCCACATGACCATATCATGTTTTTTTGGCACATAAGAGGATCGATTTCCAAAAAAAAATCATGTTTGTGATTATCAAAATGTTTACCGTAAATCGTAATCAACCGTATGGCTAAGCCAAAATGGAAAAAACTAATTACAAAAGGATAATCCTGATTCTTCAATATTATTTCACCTTCTAATCGTCATTGCTTCACCTTGAGGATGAGGTCCTACTCAAGGTAGTCAATGGTTAATGCCTTAATGTTAACATAATTTCGTACTTGCAATGCAAACCCATATTGACATAGCCCAAAAGGTGACGCGCCTAAAAGTGAGAAAAGAGCATTCATTTGCTTTTATGCTGACCAAGCATAAAAGACAATACTTTCATTTTTCCAAATTGTAATTTGGCCGATTTTCACAAAGATTTTCTGATTTCATTAATATTGTTGATTTAAAGTCCAAAGTCCCAACAGTAATTTTTTTAACCTGCGAAAATTGTTTTATAAACACAGTCTATGAGAACATCTGCTTGAAAATTATCGTCCACCTTTTTTAAAAAAATAAAAATAAAATTAGATGAGTCATCACACATGTTTATTAGAAGAACAAAGTGATTAAATTCCGGACACTCTGATTTACAATCCATATATTTTTTTAGTTACAGATCTTCACATTTCTTGGATTCATTGAATGAGTATTTTGTTCTCTATAGTTATGGTATTGACATTAATAAACCTGTTAGTAAGCACATCAATTACCCATAAGATGTTGACCTGCAAGTTTCAAGCATGGTTATTTTCTTTTTTATTTATCAAACGGTCCAATATTCCCTGTTTTGTTTTTCTAATAATATAAGGGAATAGATAGGTGTCTAGGATTAGCAAAAATAAATTGCAAGTACCAGTTGAAAGAAGACTTGCTTGTCTTATTTTTTTTTTTTAATTTTTTTAGGAAAATAACAAAACTCGTAAATCCAAATTGTCCATAAAACGGATGAATACAAAAGTTATTGCTGTCATTTTTACCTACCGAGGAATCCAAAGATTGTCAAATGTATTTCTATGAACAACGTATACGAAACGTTTAAAGTAATAATAAGGGTTTGATGTTTTTTTAGGTAGATAAAATTATCACTTACACATATAAAAATATGTGAGGTCATAGGAAGAAAATAAAGAGAAAATTAAATTTCATTATGAATTTCTGGGAGGAATTACATATCACCCACCAACAAACACCAATAAAGTCCACCAATAAAGTCCTCACATCGGCTAGCAGGGTTTGAACCCACGCCCTCGAGAGATATGGACCAAACCCTTAGCCAACTGTGCCCACCTTTGTTGGCGGTCCCACTTAGTTTTATATGTGTGTAGGGGATAATTTTTTTTTTTTTTTTTTTGATAACAGGGGATAATTTTTTCTCCTATACAAGATGAGACACATTAAATTCTTAAAAAAATAGACAAAGAAAACTACCCTCAATCATCAAAATTAGTTATTGAATTGGCCAATTGAAGTGAAATATCGGTGACTCGGGCAATTAGTTATTGAGTTGAAAGGTTTAGTTATTTTTTGCCAAATTCGATCAAATAGATAAAAAAAAAATATAAATCAATCAGATCAAACTAAGTAAAAAGTAGAAATCCATTTAAATTATTTATATTTTAAAAAACTTTAATGTAGTTGCTCTTTTTTTATTTAACTCGTACAACTTGACCATATTCGCTTTCGATTCGATTCTTACACCCATACTTTAATTTTAATTCGATTAAAATTAAATACTAACTAAGCATGTGTTTGAAAAGGTCTAAATTTCATGAATAATTAACATAAATTAATCAAGATACGCACGAATTCATCGGAGTTCATGATTATATTTTAGAAATGCTTTTTTTTTTTTTGAATAACTGAAATGCTTTTTCTATTTTGAGTTCATTTTTATGAAACATAGATTTCTTTTTTTTGGCGGGGGAAGGTGGAGGGAAATAACAGCCAATAGAAATAGAAAAAGAATACCGATACGTGAGAGGGACAGAATAGAAAGAGAGAAAGGCCAAAAAATAGAGAGAAAGTGATCTCAGAACGAAACGGTCATCGACCAATGGCCGCATGACACAACACACAGACACACCCATTGGGTGCGAAAACATTTTCCGTATTATGGATGTAGCGATATTTTTTTATCAAATATGGAAAATAAAAAAATAAGACATTTATATTATTTTTATTTGAATTTATTGTCTCTCGTGGTGTTGTAAGAAATTATTTTAGTTATTTTATTTTTTGTAGATATTCTAAATAATTTATTGCTTCGCGACTAGTTCGATTCGGGACGAGTCCCGAGATTAAGGATAATTTTATTTTTACACTCACATAAAAGTATATGAGGTTATGTTTTTTTTCTTTTATCTTCATATGATCTCACACACTGTTATATGTGTAGGGGATAATTTTATTTTCTATAATATAAAAAGTATTAAATCCTTTTTTATTTTTATAACTATTTTCTCTCATATCTGTTTTTTCTTTTCTGTTTAGGAAGATAGTTTCTATTATTCCCCTTTCACCAAAAATAACTTAGACAAAAACATTTTCGGTTCTACTCCCGTTGCATAAAAAATCCCCTAATTGTGTATCATCAAATTTATATGGATGTTTGTAGTGTATTGACCAACAGTCACCGCGCTTCATATCTTTGGTAACTACTCCACAGAACATCTCTTTTGGACCTTACAATTGGTTATCATGACTAATGCATATTTTTCGTAAACTCAAAAAAGAAACTATTTAAGAACTGATTTTATTTTATTTTTGCTCGTGCGCAATTACATTAAAGACCCGTTTGGTATGCAGGATTCTGGAGTATTTTCGAAAAATTGAATTTTTCTAAATTTTTAATTTGCAGATATTATTGTAAACTAAATGTAAAAATCATATTTTTAAAAATCGAGATTTCCGGATAAAAAAAATTTCTCCTTTACCAAACACTCTCTGAGAATTTTGTTATAAAGTGAAAGAAGAAAGTGTTTATGGTTTTGAAAAATCAATGTACTGTCGTTCAATTCTTGCACAGGGAAACATCTAAAATTGAATACTATTAACCATTTTCAGTCTTTAATATCTCTCTCTATCCTTCGAGTCTTCAATTCTTGGACACGAAAACATCTACACTTGAATACTATTAACCATTTTCAGTCTTTAATGTCACTCCATGTTTTTTTTTTTTTTTGGATTGATTTTTCACTAATAAATTAATCATTTATGTTTTTCATTAATTAAGAAGTACGAACACCCCATGCCCCGTGACACTCCTTCCCCTCTCTACTCCATAATACACTAGAGAGATCATAAAATGGCAAATACTCTCCACTTTGGTTCTTATGATTTTGGCGCTCAATCCCCTCCAATTCTTATATCTACATCATCCCCACAGACTCCTCTGTCCATTATACACACACTCTCTCTTTCTCTCTCTTTATCTCTTTCTGTCTCTACCTTTTACCCTAAAAAGAGGCTTTGGTTTCTTCATAAGGCCCTCTCCCACAACCAAACTTCGAAAGAGAGGGGATAGCAATAAGGGAAGAGTTAGGGAGACACATACACATTTATATATATACATAGAGAGAGAGAGAGAGAGAGAGGACTGCTTGGGTCTATAGTGATTTTGTTCTTATTACATAGATTTTTCATTTCATAAGAGATCTCCATTCTCCACACTTCGTTGTGTCTTAAAGACTCCATCTTTAATCTGAAAGCTCCATTTATTTGTTCTTACCGGTGCTCGTTTTATAAAACAAACAAAAAAAAAAAAAGGTTTTTTTTTTCCTTCCCCATTGAAGGGAGAGAGGTTTTTTGACCTGTTGCAATGGCACCCAGTTTTGATTGTGTCTCAAGCCTCCTCTGTACAGAAGACGACAGCATTTTTGACGAAAACGATAATGGGGTTTCGTTGGAGATGTTGGAGGATACATGGCATCCTAGATATCGTCGAAACCATAATCAAAGCGAGTACTTTGGTGACCCAAATGGGTGGTTGCCATTGCAGAGTGAAGAGTGTTTGGCTCTAATGTTGGAAAAGGAATGCCATCACTTGCCTGGTGGTGATTACTTGAAAAGGCTGCGAAGTGGGGATTTGGATTTTGGGGCCAGAAAGGAGGCCATTGATTGGATTGAAAAGGTGGGTTCAAGAGCTTGTTTGCTTTTTATTTCTTATTGAGTCCAAAATCTAATCTTTCTCAAGCATGAGGATTTTCTTTTCTGTTTTTGCTTGTGGCAATGAAGCTGGCGACTGTTTTTCCTTAATCCTGAAATGGGACTTTCTGTGAATTCTCATATTTGCTTTTGATGATATTAAATTTGAACGAGGTGTTTTTTCTGCAAATGGAAGAGTTTTATTTGGATTTAACTGCCTCAATCTCTGTTTGGTGATGGTTCAACTGGTGAATCTGAGTTGCTTGGATATTATCTATGGATTGTCCTTTTATTATGAAATTTATGGGATGGCACTCTTTTTTTCATGCATATTTTCTGCCGATTTTAACGTATTAAAAACTAGACCATCGTTTCATTTTGCATCAGTGTGTAGCCATTGTTCGTTGAAACAAGTAAGGATTGCATGATATTTATCCCATTGCCCTTTGCTATGGTCTAACTAATGAATGAAATGTACCTGTTTTATAGGTGCGAAAGCATTTTGGCTTTGGACCTCTCTGTGCATATCTATCCATAAACTACTTGGATCGCTTCCTTTCTGCATATGAATTACCTGTAAGTCAATTAATCAAGAGAAAAAAAAGGCTTTTTTTTTGTCCTTGTGTTCTCCACTGGTTTTGATCTGATCTTTCAACCCGCAGAAGCAAAGAGCTTGGACCATGCAATTGTTGGCTGTGGCATGCTTATCTCTGGCAGCCAAATTAGAGGAGACTGAAGTTCCTCTATCTCTTGATTTGCAGGTACAATATTTTAATTTGATGCTTGATAGTTTGAACAAGTTAAGTCAAATCTCTTTGATTTTACATGTGGTGATCATCTTTATATTTTTATCATGCAGGTGGGTGAATCTAAGTTTGTATTTGAAGCTAAAACAATAAAGAGAATGGAGCTTCTTATACTGAGCACATTGAGGTGGAGAATGCAAGCAATTACCCCTTTCTCTTTCATTGACTATTTCCTTTGCAAGATCAATGATGATCAAAGTCCAAAAGGAGCTTCAATTTTGCGATCCGTCCAACTTATACTGAGTACTGTTAGAGGTACCTGTTTGTTCTCCTCCCTAACTCTCTGCATCAATAATAATCATGATAGGTAGATCATAACTTAAGAGAGTGGGGATCCAATGCAGGAATTGACTTCTTAGAGTTCAGACCATCAGAGATTGGAGCAGCAGTGGCATTATCTGTGGTGGGGGAAACCCAAACGGTTCATACTGAGAAAGCAATTTCTGTTCTGATTCAGCACATAGAAAAGGTAAAAGATGTGGTCCAATGACAAGAAAAAGTGAATATAAATGATGGTTTTCCTTATCAGCTTTTGATCATTTTAAGTTGATTACTTGTTTGTAACTGATCAAATGCAATTAATTGTGGCATGGTTTAGTTGACATCAACAATGTCTTATTTGGTTTTTGGCAGGAGAGGGTCTTGAAGTGTGTTAAAATGATCCAGGAGCTCTCATCAAACAGTGGTTGTGCTAAGGATACTAGTGCTTCAGTTTCTGTCCCTTGTGTGCCTCGAAGCCCAATAGGGGTGTTGGATGCTGTATGCTTCAGCTACAAAAGTGATGACTCAAATGCTGGATCATGTGCAAATTCTTCACATAATAGCCCAGATGCTAAAAGGAGGAAGCTAAACAAAACCTGTGGAGTATAGCTATTGTAGTGATGTTGGTTGGGAATTTTAGCATCATTCATAGGATGCCTTTCTAGAAAAGGACGTTGTGTGTTTTAGGGAAGGTGCCACCTCAAGGGAATACCAATGAAGGAAGCAGGAAGATAGATAGGGAAAACGAAAAAATAAAATAAAAACTGATCATAAAGGATGCAAAGAATATAAGGTGGATGGTGAGTGGAAGATGCAAGATTTTAAGGAATGGAATCAACACATTTCATGCTGTTAAATATTTTATGGATGTCTTAACAGCTAGAGAACAGAGATGGTGAAGGAGGAGGGCGAATAAGGATTGGTGTATTTGTTTGTGTAAAGTACAGTTTGTTTTTTACTTTTAAATGAGGTAGTAAAATAGACCAAAAAATAGAACGAAAATAAGAGGCAGAGCTACTAGCATTTTATATATTTGCGGCATTTATTTTTTATTTATGTCATTATCGTTATTCTATTGGTTATTTTATTTTATCAGTGTAACAGTTTCTGAAAAAAGTTTATAAAAGAATATTATTATTATTCTGTCAGCAAAACGATCTTGGTTTACTATAGTAAGCCCTGTCAGCAATTCAATGGGACACTTTGACCGAGTGACTGTTTGGACTTTAGACTTTAGAGTTTACACCATAGATATTGTTTCGGTATTCTTTTAAAGATATTGTTTCGGTATTCTTTTAAAATAGAAAAATACTATATTATTTTCTTAAAAAAATATATTGAATAATTAAGTAATAAAAGCTAGAATAAATTTTAAAGTGTATAATTTTTTTCTATTTTGTAATATTTGACATAAAATATTTAATTTAATATATATATATATATATATATATATATATATATATATATATATATATATATATATATATATATATATATATATATATATATATATGTGGGTAGGATCTTTTGACACCTCATCTGAGAGCCGTTATATTAAAAAAGATCAATGGTGTCACATGCTTACAAATCAGAGTTGTTGATCTTTTTTGATTTAATAGCGCTTTTAGATGAGGTGTCAAACTTTAAATTTGACACTTGTGTTAAATGATCCTATCTCATATATATATAGAAAAATTGTTTTCTCCAACTTTAAAGATAACTATCTCATGTCATAGACACATAAAAAAAAAAAATTCTTTTTTTTTTTAACTTATGAGCTACACATTTCTTATTATTGTAGGAAAAAAAACTTCTCTCACGTTGAATAAATAAGAGAAATATTATCCACTGTTAGGCAGGTCTAGAGGCAAGCCTGTGGCGGGGACCACCACCAATGAGCTAAGGCTACACCAACTGTAGCAAGTGGATCCGACACCATGTCTCAACCCAAAACCTTAAGGCATTGGGTTCATTGGTCCTTTCACTTATATACTCTTCACTTATCTCATTATTAACCAATGTGGGACTCATCACACTTGAATATCCCAACAATCTCCCCTTCAAGTGTGAAACTCATCATTGGTAAGCTCCCCCTCAACCGAGTACCCCAAGCGCAAAGTACTCAACTAGCCTCTTAGCCAATCACCAGGCTAGCTCGAGCCCAACCCGGCTCTGATACCACTGTCAGGCGGGTCCAGGGGGAAGCCCATGGCGGGGGCCACCATCAATGGACTAAGGCTACACCTGGTGGCCTTAGTCCATTGATGTAGCCTTAGTCCATTGATGGTGGCCCCCGCCATCCCTGAACCCGCCTGACATCCACGTATAAATATAAATATAAATATATATATATTACCCCTTTTAACTAAGTATGACCAGTCATATTTAGTTATAACAATAAAGCTGTTCTTTTTTCTGTCGGCGGACGTGACGAGAGAGAAAATACATTTTTAATGTATGACCGGTCATACTTAATTAAAATGGGGTAACTGTAGACAACCTTATTTAAAGTGGCTACAAAAATATTTTTCCCGTATATATATATGGCTTTAATGTTTCTAAAGTGGATGTAGATAAGCTATCTACATTCGCTCCCAAAATGACGTCGTTTTTGATTGAAAAATTTAAAAATTATAATGAAAAAGACTATTATAACTCTGAAATAAATTATAATTACAAAAATACCTTGATTTCTGCCTCAAAACGACGTCGTTTTGGGCTCACTGTAGATAAGCTATCTACATTGACGGTAAAAAAATGAACCATATATATATATATATATATGGGCTTATCGTTTCTCCAGTTGCCGGAGATAATTTTATTTCCAGCTAAAAAATCATAACCGTACAAAGATAGATCAATGGTAATGAAGGAAGAGAGAGAAAAATGGAATCATAACCATTCAAAGGTATATATATATTAATATAAGAAAATAAATAAACAAAACGACATTTTCCTACATACACAAAAAGAGGTTGAGTCCCACAATTCTTTTTTTTTCTCCTCTTATCTGTGGGTCCCACTTATACTTTTATTTCTACACCATGAAATATATATATATATATATATATATATATATATATATATATATATATATTTATATATTTGTGTATGTATGTATCGGGTGTAAGCACAATTATGAGCTCCATTAGCCAAGCACCAAATAGAAACGTACAAAACAATAGAGCTGTCTTGTCTTCCAATCTTATCATAGGACAAAACTGGATCTGGAACCATAATAAGAAAATTATGAGTTATAATTTTGAATTCCGTAGGTAGGACCTAGTTATAAATAATAATTTGCCGAACCTCAACCACTGCGTCGTACAACCATACTGTCGCAGCCTTGATCAAGGAGAGTGTGTGTGCTTTTGTAGCAAGCAAGCAGTGACTCCAACATGTGAGGAGTTGAACTTTGGTGGAATTGTTGCATATTGAAGTGTTTTTGTGTGTGTGTGTGTGTGTGTTTTTTTTAGTAAATGCAGATTGATGTGTTTTAGTCACAGGGAAAAGGAGCAAATTATAAAGTAAGCCCCCTAGGGTTTGTTCTTTGACTGAAGTAAAGAGGGCTCTTTTCTTTTGGACCATTTAAGGTTTGTGTTTAAATGTCCATTGAGTCTTTGACCTAGGCCTCTTGCTGAGTCGAACAAAAGAAATAATGGGTTACTACCTCTTTATTTTTGTTATTGAAATATAAATCTCTTTGTGAACATGAGAAATGGAGATATTATTTTTTTTCTCACCTTTAAATTTTTCTAAAAAAGTCAATGTGCGTAAATATTTATAAAACTTTGTATCTATATTAAATATAAATTTATTTTATTTTATTCAGCTTATAGCTTAATAATGAGCCAATAACCCATTGGCTAACGTCAGTCCATGATCACTTGACCAGGCCAAATTTTAAAACTATAGATAATAGACTAATAGGGGAATAAATTTTTAAGAAAAATAATATATTTGATTTGTAAGTAAAAAGAATAATTTTTTTTAAGTATAGGGGCATACGTTTGGAACAGTGACCAATGTACCATACATTGCTCACTTTTTTACCAGTATGTCACACGAACAGTGTTATTTTTTAAAATGTCACGTGTCCGAGTTCGTTACCGTATCAAGCGAACTCGATTTGCTGATGTGACATGTTTTTGGTGGCCATCGAGTTCGTTACTGGGTGTAGCGAACTAGGTGACAATTAATATCCATGTGCTCTGACAAAAACAGAGCACGTGACAGTATCATAGAAGTTCGCTAGGAATAATAGCAAACTAAGTAAAAGTAACCTGACACATATAAGTTCGCTACATTAGGTAGCGAACTATGTGGCTTTCTATTTCTAAATTAATACAAATCGAATTGATACCTGAAAAAGTCTTTAGTTCCTATTAGTCAGTTAGAAACATTGAAAATCTGTTCAGAAATGCATTGAACATAAAAACGCAAAGCATAAAATTAAAGCACACAAAGACAAGGCAAACAGTGTACGCATGGGTATTAATTATGGGCACACAGTTCGCTAATTAGTGTAGCGAACTTGTGTGTATCAAATTATTTTTCCTTAGTTTGCTATTATTTCTAGCGAACTTCTATGACACTGCCATGTGTTCTGTTTTTATCATAGCAGAGAGGTATTGATTGTCACCTAGTTCTCTTCATCTAGTAGCGAACTTGTACGCGTGACATATTGAAAAATAACATTGTTTGCGTGACATTTAGGTAAAAAAGTTGGTGAACAGTAATATTTTGGTCACTGTTCCCATATGTTTCCCCACTTCTTCCTAGTATAGAAGTTTTTGCCTTTTTTTTTTTGGTTGAAAAAGTTTTCGCCTTAACTTTTCATACTTATCACGGTCGTTGACATTGGAGCAATATAGTTTGTTTTATTTTATAGGGTAAAGTGTGTGTCATTTTAAAGGATGTAAAGTTATGTCATTTTAAGAGAGAGAAAGATATAGATAAAGGAGGAGAGAGAGTTGACAAAAAAAATAAAGGTGTGGGTCCCACCTCTTTGTGAGAGTGAAAGGATATAAGTTATGTCATTTAAAAGGATAAACAATTTTCTCTATGTTATATGGCTTATTTTGCAACTAGCAAAATTTATACTTATTAATCAGAATTCAATTCTTTCTATTTACTCTTATCGATTATCAATTTAATTATCATGATTCAATTTGACTTTGACTCCATACTAGACCTTAGCAACACAGAATATTGATCTCTCCAAAGTTATTATAACTTGTGGTGGCAATAATTGTTCATCTTATGTGTTATTTAATATAATATGGCTACATGAGAGGATCTTAACCATTAATAAACAAATCAACGGTGATGATATTAAAAAAAATTATCCAAATATTTTTTCTTTCTATTTCTTTATCACCATTGATTCAACCTTATATTGTTATAATCACGGTTCAAGAATCAATAAATATCCCCACATACAAACACGGGACTTTTCAATGTGTTTTTTCTTTACTCGTGTTGAGATATTCAAGTGTGATGAGTCCCACATTGGTTGGTAATGAGCTAAGTGAAGAGTATATAAGTGAAAGGACCCATGAACCCAATGCCTTAAGGTTTTGGGTTGAGACATGGTGTCGGATCCACTTGCTACGGTTGGTGTAGCCTTAGCTCATTGGCGGTGGTTCCCCGCCACGGGCTTCCCCTAGACCCGCTTGACATTGGAGTTTGAGGGAACGAATTTCCCAACAGTGGTATCAG